GAGATTTTAAATTGAATTGAACAAGAAGAATCCACTCGACCAAAAACTAACAACACAAACGCACATCTTCAAAACCCTGTTTTTTCCATAGCTTTTTCAGGGGAAATATGACAAAATTAAATTCAGACAAAACTCTTACACATATACACTCACTGCTCGTATCATAATCAATCACAATAGTCGAATAATACCTATCTGGTAAAGAGTCGACTCGTTATACTCTGTATGACAAACATTGGTTTGAGAAGAAAGGCAGAACATCAGCTAGAAGAAATATGTATATTTTTAAAGTATTATATGTTTAAAATATTCTTTTGTAGATGTACATAAAATTTTTAAACTTGAATAAAGATATTTAAACTAAAAACTAACTAAAACAAGAAGAATCACCATTACCGATCTAGTTAGCAAATCCAAAATTAACTTATAATGCTGTTTACGGCAAGGAGATGTTACATTAATATAGAATGTTAATAAATAACATTTAAGCACACGACCATGACATCGGCCATCGCAGAACAGGAACACTTCCAGGACCTCAGGAAGAAATCCATCTGTGTACATATGTATTTATTATTATTTATTTATGTAACTGCTTAGATTGTTATTTAATATTATAAATACTGAATGAAGATTTTGAAAAGAAAGAAAGAAGAAGAATCACCGTTTACCTAGAACCTTTTTAATTGTATATTTATACACCCACGCTAATTTTTCGCAAGAGTGTATGTACGTGTATTTAACTTTTTTACCGGTAACGTTGTGTTCTCAAAATTTAAATTTTCTTTTTTTTATACTGCGCCAGTAAAGTAAAGCTGTCTACGAGACAATTTACTCGAAAAGACTCCGCGAGCGGATAAACTCTACCAAACCTTCGGTAAAAGTGGCAAATGTTTCGCGAAACCGATCTACCCCAACTACCCCCAAGACGCTGAATACAACCAGGCACCAGCACCCATACAAAATCGTGAGTAGTCAAGGGAGAAATACTAACAAAACTAATCTGGGATCAACTGACCATCCCAGAGGTGACTCCACGAAAAAACGTTGCTCTGAAAAAAGTTCGGAGAATTGACACAGTCAGATGGTGACAAAACAATCAATCTTCGACTCAGAAAAAACCGTTACTGCAGAGAGCAGAGCGGAAAGCAGTTCCATATCAACCGACAAGCCAAACATCGAAGAGCCCAAAATCACACAAGAGAAAGAAATTATTTATTGCTCCGGCCTTTATTTGATGAAAATCCATATTATCTTAAATGAGTAAAACTATTTTAAAATAAAAGTTTTGTGAAAATCTACCAAATTTGGTTTTACTCATTTAAGAAGAAAAAGAAAGTTTGGAGAAAGTCGAAGCGACCACAAAGACAAACACAGATTGCGAAAGTAAGGAGAACGCTCTTCGCACAATTATCTACACTGAGACGGACCGAAAAAGTTCGGAGAAAACAGGCTACAGCATAAACGCTGCAGAAAGCGAAACTTTGGAGAAGAACAGAAAAAGAAAGGAGAATATCTATTCGGGTGCATACAGTGATAGCACCAAGCCGCATGAAAGTGCAGATAGTTCCGACAGCATCAATTCGAGTGATTCTTCACACATGTATTAGAAATTAAAAATTTTAAAAAACCGACTTCAAAAACGTGCAGATGTCGTCACCACATCTTAACCAAATTTATATGGGATCACCCCTGAGGTACCGCCTTACTAACAAAAAAGAATCATATAAATCGGACAAGGTGGTAAAGCATTATCGCTAAACATACATAAAAAATGAAAAGTTTGAGGATTTTCTCATGGACCCGATTATTAGATTTTGACACCGTGTTAAAGAATTATCACTGAACATACATAAAAAAAAATACAAAAAAAAATATTACGACGAATTGAAAACCTCCTCCTTTTTTTGAAGTCGGTTAAAAAAAGCGACATTATAAGAGCCGATCCTGATGAAAGTTTGGAGAATCTCATCAATGATCTGGAGGGTACAAATGAAGACTCCAATAGCTCGGAAAATTTAAACGATTTTAGAAATGGATCAAGACGAATCCGGCGAAGAATCCCCAAAATTGACAAAAAATAAAACAACTTTTGCCGAAAAGAAAAAGTATGGAGAAAATCCCAAAGAATTTGAATCGGCATACAAAAATTAGCTATGCCAATATATGTTACTGCCAGAACTCTGGACTTTGGCCAGGACACTCTCCTATCAGATGGCAGTACGATCACATCTGGAACCACTCCACCAAGTGAAAACGAAAACTGCCCTCGAAACCTGAATGCAGGAGCACAAGGGCCCAAAGAAACTCAGATTCGCGACAAAAATAGTACCTTATTTCAAAAAGACACCACAATGCTACTGTGGAGACAAACCGGATCCAGGGTGGATCGAGTAGCTCTCGATTCGGCTTTGTTCCTACGGTTACAGAGTCCAATACAAACAACATCCCCTACAAAGGAATTTACAAATCTCCCTGCAAAAAATACTGGTGCAGTCCCGAAAATGTACAGTATCCCAGAATAACGATAGGCGTAAGAAGTACCGACCTACCTCCAAAACATAGATAAGTCCATATTTAATTTTAATTCGGAAAACACCACATCAGAAGAGGATAAATTATCCAAGGATAAACAATATACTCAAGGGCAAAGTAATTTACCACACTCGCTCAATAGCATATTTCCTCTCAGGTCTAAAAACAGCCCTCCGAAAACCATGCAAATGGACACAGACAATACGAATGATAATCAACCCTTTATTACCCCTAGGAAATTTAGCTCTAACTTTGAAAAGCTAATAAGAGAAAAAACCAGAAAAACACTTGCCAAGACGAACAACATATTCCAGGCCCTAATCGAACACTTTGACTCGGAAATCGATGATGATTTGGGTAGAATCGTAAAAAGGAAAAGGAAATCCGTTAAGACAAGGGAAGCAAAGAGCAACGAGAAACCCTCAGATAAACCAGAAGAAACTATTGAGAGCATCCTAGCAGAGAACAAGGCCTCTAATAACAAAACCTTTCAAAAAAAAGTAACTCCAGCTCCCAAAAACAAAAACCAGAACACCCTTATAAATGACATCAAATCTATCGTCACGGGGAAATTCAGTATAAAGCATACTAATAATTCAACGATCCTCTTTCTAGAAGAGAAAGAAGATCATGAAAAAATGGTTCGCCGCATAAGAGCTGAAAAACTCCCCTATATTACCTACACGAATAGGGAAGAGAAAACGCACGCATTCGTACTAAGGGGCCTCGCAGACGGCACTAAAATCGAGGACATTGACGAAGACCTCACTGAGGAATATGACATAAAAGCCAGATTCATCTTCAGGATGAACACGAAAAATAAATATAACGGGCCCTACACTCACAATAGACTATTTAAATAAAAACGCCCGACGAGTTCTATACACAAGAGTGGTTTGGGAACTTGAAAATCTATAAATGAAATAGTACAGTGCCCACACATGTCAATAGTGGGGGCATGCAACTGCCAATTGTGGAAAACAGCCCAAATGTTTGAAGTGTGCAGGTGATCACCACACAAGCACCTGTCTCAAGTCTAGAGACACCCCGGCGACCTGTGTAAACTGCGGTGGTGATCACCCCGCGAATTACACTAAATGTAAAAGCTATACAGACACAATAGAAAGGCTCGAATTAAATCGCATGCAGAAACCTCAACAAATTAAATATGTACCCGACCCTGCCGCAACACAACCAATGAGAAAATAGAAGAATCAGCAGAAGAGCTGATGACTTCCTTGCTCTTCCCAATAAAGAACCAAGTACGAATCCAAGAACTAACAGCACATCTACGATCCCCAGAATGGAAAATCCGAAACAAATGACCCAGGGTTCAGTCACGGCCGATGTTACATCATTAAATGAAGCTTTCGCAGAACTAAACAATTTAGTTAACATAGGTGAGCTTGCTAGAGCGGTAAGGCAACTTAACACACAAATCCGACTTTGCAAAACGGGACAAGAACTCATAGAGACGTACAACCATTTCATGACAAACGTAGACAATAACTTCAACCTTAGAAATTACCGAACTACATAACAACAAAGACAAACTCAAAATTTGTTTTTACAATGCAAATGGGATGCGCAACAAAACCACAATTGTTTGCAGTTTCATCCCCAAACATAATTTTGACATCATGCTCATAACAGAGATACACTACATACAGACATACAAATTCAAAGTACAAGGGTATGTTGGATTGGTAGTCACCTTTTCCAGCAGTAGATGAGCTCAAATGGAGTGAAATGGAGTAACCAAAAATGTACTGGAAAATGGTAAAACGTACTTGTTTTGACCTACAAAATACTGTTCCAAATAACCATTGAACTCTTAGAAAGCTAAGTAAATTTTTGGATGAAAACGAAATTACCATAATTTCTTCGAAAATTGCCAAAATTAATAAAATAAACATTATTGGCAGAGTTGTTCTTGCTGGTAATCAAAACTATACCGGAAAAAAGTAACTTTTCGATACTGAAAGTCAGTACAATGGTAATGATACTGCCTTTTCTGTAGATAACGAGGAGTACCGAAGAGGCCTGTTTAGGAATTTAAAAATATAAAATTAACTATAAAAACATAAAAATGAATTGATGATCTAGATCTGAGTAACTTTTCGTGAGTAAATACGACATTTAAATAAAAATCCCGCTTTTAATATCCTCATTAAACGTGATTTTATGCTAATATTTGTTTTTTACTGTACAATATTTCAATTTATACATCAAAAATGATCTAACAGCTGTCCTATAGAACAGTGTTTAATTAGTATCTGCCTGTTTACGATAATATCTTTATTTTATTTTACCGATTTTCAAAGAGGTAACCAACTTTATTATTCATGTCGAAAATTAATTATATTTAAAAATAATGCCGATACGCTACTGGTTTATATTCAAAAAATTAAGAAAGGTTTTTAATGCCAAAGACATCCTAATCGAATATTTGAAAGAAATTTACAGTTTAGTTCTTCCATGACAGTTTATAGTGTTATTTTAGTTATTTGATAATAATATAGTAAATTATAAGATTAACATAAAAATAAAATTGTCGTTATGAGTTACAGCAGCCCTTACGGAACATCGGCGGTAAGAAAAATTTAAAATTTTTTAGAGAACGTTACTATTTTAAATGTTTTTTCATAATTATTAATAACGTGGTAATAAAAAGTTTTAAATTGTTATAAAAGGATTAAATGATTGACAGTAAACAACGTATTGATTTTAAAGTTTTTTTGTTAAAAGGTTTTTTTTCAATTTTGACAAAAACTACTCACAAACATGTTAAGTAAAAAATACAATTTTTGTCGCTATTTTTTTAATTCTTTATTAATACCCTTATCCCACGTAATTTGTTACCAATTGGCTAAAAGTTAAATTAAAGACTTCAGCAGTAGGCAACTCACAGACAGACCCACTCTAGCTTTCTTCGGCTGGAATTCGCCGAGTGAAACTTCCTATTTCGATTGTTCTCTGATTCTGGTGTGTTCATGGTTACAAAACGGTGCAGAAAGTTTTTTTAATCTTGGTTGGACAATGAAAAAAACCCCTTTGAAGTTGTCATTTGGTTGGGCTTATTGTGAACATTAAGTAGGTGAACCCATCATGCAATATATTCACGTGAGATATGTTCACAGCTTCAGCAATCTCGCACACCGTCACTTTGATCGTCAATTAACATATCATTGATTCTATCAACCATGGTGTGGTTTAAACTACCTGTACGCTTATTATTAAAAATACTCGTACGACCGCGTTTAAATTAAATAATTTCAAAGACCGTCTAAAAAGTGCAATATGACCGACAATTGGCAAACACATAAATATATCTGTGGCAAACAAAGGTTGTTATAACCTAACTTTTTGTAAATATTTGACTCTTGTTATTACAAATCATGACAAATTTTCAAATTCGTAAGTTTCAGATCTAATATTCGTTGATTTTTAAGATTATCTAAAAGATTCTACGTTAATTAAATTATCTTTTACACATACGTACTCGTAGAACTCTATTTTGGCCAATGTAAATAGGTGATGTTGGCTTCTTTTTATATGTTCAGCAAGTTATAAAAGAGAGTTGGAGCCATAATGCCTCTATTCTTCTTTTATGGATGTTTATTTCTTCGTTATATTTCAAGTTAGTTAATTTATTTATTTTTTATTTATTTGATACAAATACATTTCATACAATTAAAAATTAAATTAACATAATAATCAAATTATAATTAAAGTTAAAGCACCTGTATGTGCTAAAGTAAAGTAATAGAATAGTAATATACACATTTATACTTATAGTATACATACATAATATACATAGTTTTAAAATATCTGTAATAAGAATACAAAATTATCTAGAGTACATCTCTATATGCACCAATATTAGAAATGATATACTGTTTTGATTTCTTCTGAAATAATTTTAAATTTTTTATGTTTCTCACATTGACAGGTAAGGTGTTAAGGCTTTTGGAAGCAACATAAGTTACAAATCTTTGACTTGCATCTCGCTGAACTGCTGGAGTTCTCAGATTCTCATTTAATCTGGATCTTGTGTTGCACAAGTGCTTTGCAGTATGTCTCAGTTCAGGCCTTCTATAAATAAAAGTACAACAACAATGATAATATAATGTTCTTATACTAAGCACTCGTTTGTTATATAAGAGAGAGGGAGGTAGGTAGATATAATGTCGATTTTTTGTAAATAATTTTGACGATACGATTTTGGATTACGTTAAGAAGTTGAAGTACTATATGATATAAACCACCCGATATTATTAAACCATATCGGAAAATAGATTCAACCAACGAATTGTAAATAGTAATTAGTAGACTCCTAGTCATACATTTCCTTAACTCATAAAATATAAAAATAAATTTTCTAACCTTGGTTGTTAATGATTGAATGTGCTCACTCCATTTCAAATTTTGGTCAATTATTATACCAAGGTATTTTATTGTATTGTTCATTCTAATTACAAAGTTTTCATTTATTTTTATGTCGAAAGAAGGCCTTGTCAACGTTAGTTAACGTGAATGCTAGAAAGGAGGTTTTAGAGACATTTAAAGAGCGTTTATGAAAATCAAGCCAGTTTTTAATAGTACTTATACCCGTTTTGGCTTTTTCTTTGACTGCTTCCTAGCTACTATCCTCGAATACAATGACAGTATCATCTGCATATGAGATTATTGCACCATTTATTTGTAATTTTAACATAGTATTGATATAAATGATAAATAAAATTGGACCAAGAACCGTTCCCTGGGGCACTCCCATTTGAACGATTTCCGGTTCGCTTAATGTTTATTGATTTTTTAAGTTAAGTACTTTTTTTGAATAATATGAAAAAAAGAAGTTAAATTCGCGAAAATCTTGAGAGATCTCCACGAAACCCCAGAATTCTGGGGAAAGCAGTTTAAGAAACAGTACTTATCTAATGCACAGTGGATAATAAATAATCAAAATACATACATTACACATTGTTAAAAAAACAAACAAGATAGTTTAATTATTCGACTGTCACAATATTATTTAATATTTTTTAAATTTTATATCAAAGGTGGCTCCAGAGAAGAGGCCAAGGCCCCCATGGCAGTCCAGATATTAAAATTCTTACAATCCATGTACCTTTGATTAAAAAAATATATATGCCTAAAACGGTATGGCTAATGACAATGCGCCTTAGAGCCGCCCTTGTTACATAAATTTAATTTAATTCTTGTTTACTTTTAAATAATAAATTTTACTTACCTTAAATATCTTTAAATTTATTTCACACTGTACAGGGTGAATCAACGATGCGTGATTGAACGATAGCTGCTTCCCTATATGAGATAGGAAAAAATGCTTCAAATAAAAGTTGTAGAGGGCATTTGAAGCTACGTTCCAAAAATAACTACCATTATACAGGGTGTCCGATAAATGTATGAGTTATCGAAGTAATGTTTTTTTAAAGGAAACACCATATATATTTTTACTCGATTAAATTTCTTTGGAAGAGTGTTTCTCAAAAATATAGGGTTGTATGGGTTTATACTGGGTGGTTAGGAATTTATGGTGGGATTTAGGTAAAAAAATGGGTTAATTCAACATCAAATATCTCTAAATCAATAATTTGGAATAAATTTTTTTTTCTGCCGAATATTCTCGAAAATAGTGTATTTTCATTTCCTATTCATAATTTTACCGAATGGCGCTTTTCCCATACAGGGGCAACCAAAACTCGGGACCAGTTTTTTCAAATGGAACACCCTGTAAATGAGGCCATACCAGGATAGCCCATACCATGAGCTTTCAGAAAATGTAGGGTTTGCCTACTTGATTTTTATCGGAAATGTATCTAATTCTTAAGGAAAGTATAAAAAAGTTATAAAAGCAATAACTATTTATTTATTATAAACGAACAATTATTTAAAAAAGCGTATATTCACAGCAAATGTTTAAACAATCTCACATTTTAAGCTATGCCCGAATTAATCATATCTACAATTGCTCTTCGAACTTTCATTAAAGTTGATCTTGTAATACAGCGAAAAATCAAATCACCCTTGAAGCATTTGAACGTTATAGGAATTTGACATTTAATTATCGAGAAGGAGAATAATTTATAGTTAAAATTTAATAATTTTTCGCTTCAAAATGAAATTATCCACCGAAGAAATGATAAAAATTAGTTTGTGAAGTTTAAAATTGTTGTAATTGTATAAATATTTCGAAATAACGATTCTGCGCCCTTTTGACCTCCTTACTTTTTTAGACAATAAAATTCAGTTAAAAACAGGACACCATTTCACGGAATACACAAACATGAAACACAACAAAAAATTGTACTTTTTTAAATGGAATGCTCTGAATGTTATTAAAATTTAGAAACATTTTTATTTACTAATTTCAAAAATATGCAATACCCCTATCTTATTATACCTATCGTTCTCGAGTAATTAAACGTCGAATATCTTAATTAAACAACTTACTGTGAATATGGAAACGTCAACATTATTAAAGTAAAAGCTATGAGAATGGAAACTATTTATATTTGATAAAAGTGACATTACTTTAATAAAATAATCAAAATAGTTTACAGTGAGAAAAAAAGTGTTAAATATTTATCTAAACTAAGATATTCGACGTTTAATTAATTAAAAAAATCATTCCTAAAATTTAATAAAATATATTTTTAAAAATCTTATTTTTTATATCCTGTGAAATATACACGCCACTGATGTGGCCACTGTATTTGCCACTGTATTTTTGATGGTATTTTAACAAAATTCAGTAAATAGAAATAATAATTATGGTATAGAGGATGAGTAATTTATAATGAATAACCCTGTACCTAATAGTTCTCAGGAAAAATTATTCAATTTTAATTTGCACTTTTTTACGTAGATTAAAAAAATATGTAATTTCGTGTTTTCTTGGTGCAGACATTGTATATTCAAATCCAAAATAGTGTAATTTTATTTTAACACATAATTAATACAAATTTATTAACAAAAAATAAATACTTGTTATGTTCGGTATATTTAAAATAATTTTACTCATTGTCTCAAGATTTTATAAAAAAATTACTGGACCTTATATAGTTTTATTACAATTTGATGATCGCGAGTGATCATCGTACGAAAACGAAATTTGAGCACGACAATTTATACGTCATTAACATAAAATTATTGTTTTGAAAATAATTTATGAGCTTTACCAATTTGAACTCCAGACCCCTCGCATCAAAGACGAGGACTCTCCGTCATTGATACATACAATTTAATAATACTTTTTAGTACTGATAAGATCAATTTGGTTGTAGTTTCATTAAAATCTCGATTTATTTCTAAATTTAGACGATTATCTTGTGAAATGCTATTATTTATCAATTCTTCACAAAAATCACTATTTTTAATTATATTTAATCTCAATAACTAAAAATATATATTGACAATTAATTTGACAGAATTGTCGCTCTAGAGTTCCAACATCTGACGTAGATCTGACGAGCAAACAAAATTGTTAGTTGAAATATTTTACCAATAGATTGCCCCCAATAACTTTTACATGGCGATTTGCTGTAACGTGTGGAAGGTTGATTACCCCCCTACGGCACTTAGCCCTCATTAGGCCCATTGTGCATAAGATGATAGACACCTCCTAGCTCGTGAACCAGCATACAGATTTAATGTAGTTGACAACGTCGCAAAGAGGTGCTTCTCTTATATCGGCCGGTGTTAGCCGATATTCGCCGAACACAAATCTTTTAATAAATGAGAGCATCGAGCAATCGTAAAGGATATGCTCGATGGTCTCATCTTCTTGTTCGCACTCTCTGCAGAATGCGGATGCTGACAGCCCCATGATATGGAGATGCTTCCATACTTGGCAATGATCAATCAGAATGCCTGTGAGTAGGCGCTATTCTGCAGTTTCATCTAATCTTTCCTTAAATTTCACAAGCGAATGTTCTTTAATTAGGTTTGTCACTACCGATTTTGTCAGGTAAATAGAAGGGCCAGGTACAAAAAGTATTTGATTGGCTGCTTTCTTGGCGTGTGAATCAGCAAAACGCTTACCTTTTGATGTGGCGTGACCTTTGATCCATCTTAAGGTGACCACATTGTTGATGGATACTTCGCACAAAGCATCGTGATATTCTAGTACTAACCCTGAGTAAATTCGTAGTATGTTCAGGGTGAGTAGTGTTTGTATTCTACCTTTATATATATGTTCCTTCCAGTGATATTGTTTCTGGTTATTTCTTTCGCTGCTATGATAATCCCCGTTTGCTCTGATTGAACTACACTGGCACTATTGCTCACAGCCCATTTTATGTTTAGGTTTAAGAATCTGGAGTATATTTCACATCCTGAGCCTTGTTTTGTTTTAGAACCGTCGGTGTAGATATGAATCGTACCTACCACTTCCGGCTCTTCTATTTGTTTTATTATAAATTTATATGGCTTATGGAAGATATATTTCGGTGAGATGGAGTCCATTGTCGCTTGAAGCAGTGGGAGCGCCTCTTGCCAAAATGTCAAAAGCGACGTCTCGCCTCACCAGATCCTACATCAGGTTCTATTCCATTCGTGCAGAGGCATGTAATTGTCGTCAGAGCAACCTCCTTGATGTAAATATCAAGGGGAGTGAGACTGAGAATGACTTCCATGGCTCTGGACGGTGTGGTTTTCATGACTCCTGTTATGTAGAGACACGCTGTTCTTTGAATTTATTCTGGTTTACGGATAGCTGTTAATTTTTAGGATTTTGGTACCCAGACAACTGCATCGTATGTTAGCATAGGTTCTATGATAGCCGTGTAAGGCCATGCGACGACATTGGGGAAGGAACCCCAGGTGTGCCCCACGGCTCGGCGGCATTGTTCATAAGCAATGTATGATCTTTTAACTCTGTTTTCTAAATGCGAGTTCCATGTGAACTTGCTGTCAAAGGTACTTCACCTCTGTTTCAAAGTTTAGTTTTGTGTTTAGGAGTTCTGGAGATTTTAATTCCATTTTCGTCCTTTTCCTTATGAAAAGGACCATTTTTGTCTTCTTAAAATTGATAGGCAGTGAATTGTCCTCTATAATTTTTAGAACTACTTGCATTCTTTCGCAGAGTATGTTCTCAAAATTCCCTGTTTGCAGAATGATCAGGTCATCTGCATATGCTATTGTGTAGTGACTGTCATTATTGAGGCGGCTGATGAGGGCGTCGAGAACAATATTCCACAGTAGAGGTTAGCACCCCTCCCTGTGGACATCACCTCGCAAACAAGCCGCTTATATCCACATCTTCTACATTTATGTTCACTGCTCGCTTTGAGAGCATGTTATGTATAATAATAATAATAATAATAATAATAATATTTATTGGCCAATTTGAATTTTACAAATATATATATATATATACAATCGAGTAATTTTAGCCTATAAATATCCAAAATAAGCCTACGAGGTTATAACCTGTGTGTAGGCAGAACAAATATATATATAAAAAAAAAAGAAAGTACCATAACAAGTATTACTTAAAATTAAAAATTAAGATTAAGGATTATAAAGTATCTCTCGTAAGAAGTACCTATTAGAATAAGATATTAATAAGAATAATAATGATGATAGTAATAATAATATAATATAATATACAGCTAAGCTATTAAACAACTAATATTAGAAACAATATCATACTCACTGAGACATATTTCGCTAACGGGATAGATTTTTTTTTTTTTTTTGTTACTACTTAATTTGCCAATCTATATTTAATTTTCTATTAGGTTATGGATTTCAATTCTATTTTTTCCACTGACAAATTTTTTCAATAGGTTTTTATACTTTATAAGATTTGATGTTTTCTTTATCGTTTCGGGCAGGGAATTGAATAATTTAGGAGCTAAATAGGCATAACTTTTTTGACCAATGGACTTATTCATAAATGGTATTAAAAATGTTTCTTTCTGACGAGTGTCATAGCCATGATTTGAGCTTACTAGATCATTTTTATTAAGGTATTGCTTTACATTTAATATAGTATAGTTGTCTAATGTCGTATATTTTAGATTCATCATATAGAGCATCACTTGAATACCGAAAGTTTTTACACAATATTATTCGGAGGAATCGTTTCTGTATTATTTCCAGGGGTTTCAGGTAAGTTTTGGATAAAGAACCCCAACCCAATATCCCGTAGGTTAGATGTGATTCGACGAGGCTGTAATATAGCATTCTTAAATGATGCTCGCTTAATGCGAACTTAACTTGCCTGAATCTACCTAATATGCATCTGAGTTTTTTTAATAAATATGAAACGTGTGCATCCCATCTAAGATGACTATCCACGACTATACCCAAATACTTTATTTCTCTCTTAGCGGTTATACAAACCCCATCAATATTAAGCCCTGTAAAGTTGGGGAGCTGTGATGCGTAACTAGTGAAAGGTAGGAAAACTGTTTTCTTATAATTAATTGAAAGTAATTGATTATCAAACCATTTTTTATATTTAATTAAATCGCTTTCCACTAAAGATTTTAACTCTGGCCATGTGTTGTGACTGTAAAGAATGACTGTATCGTCTGCAAAAGATATAACTTTGGCTGCTCCTTTTAATTGAAATAAATTATTTAGGTATAAGGTGAACAGAATTGGGCCTAACACCGTTCCTTGAGGCACTCCACAGGTTACATTTTCATTATTACTGATACAATTTTTTATTTTAACTTTTTGTTTTCTCCCTAAAAGACAGCTTTTAATCAGCTTATGTGCAGTGCCCCTTATCCCCACATCTTCAAGTATATCTAGAAGAATTTGGTGGTCCACGGTATCAAAGGCTTTGGCCAGGTCCAGAAATACCCCCACTGTTGGAATTTTTTTGTCTATTTTATCATATAAATAGGACGTTAATTCTATTATAGCATCATTTGTAGATTTACCTTCTTTAAATCCAAATTGCATATCACTTATTATTTTATTCTTTGTTATATCCACCCACTAACCATTTGTGGAACATTCCTGTTGGTTAGTGAGTGTATTATCTTTGAGAAAGTGGTTTTATCAAAAGCACCTTCTATGTCTATGAAAACACCCAAGGCGGACTCCTTATTGTCCAGGAATCTTTCTATCCGCCATCTCTTGTCAAGGCTTATTATTTTTAGTCAAGCTTTGTAAGAACATAGTGTTATGTGAGCCATTTCATTATTCAGTCATGCTCTAACCCTCCAAGTCCCTTTCTGTCTTATTTGGCCTTTGAGACTCAACTTGTCCGATTATTATACATAATTAAACCCCTTAAGACCAAACCTATGTGACGACTATGGTGGAGACACTTTCGCGAACATTCCAGAGTCAACAAGATACTATTTCTAGTCTAAATATAACGTGATAACGTTTCTGGTACATTCTGGTAATTTTGGTGGAGGAGCATTCTAGACCACCAATTTGTATATAAATATTGGTGGAGGACCAACTAAAGTTAGTTATTACATGGACAGTGAAGATAAATAGTAATTAGTAGATAGACAGTGGTGAATATAAATAGTGAACGATTCATAGACATTCGAAATATATATAAATTAGAATAGTGTTATAAAATAAATAAGATTTTAAATAAATTATTGATAAATAAACTGTTGTTTTAAAATAAACAAACATCACAATAGCTATATAATATTTTTTACTAATTAAAAAAAGCGAAACAAAAATAACTACATTAATACAAATGTAAATTAATTATATATAGGAATTGTCAAGAAATTTTAATTTATTTTTTTTTTCAAGAGTTTAGACACAACATTTATTTGAAAATTTATCGTATTCTAACTATGATTAATGACGGTCAATTTTTACAAAATCCTTATGCGTTATTAATAATAACCTGAATCTGAACAATCTGTAAAAATATATTATTTTAGAATAATTATAATACATTCAACTTACACTATCACTTAAATAATTAGGGGAGTTGTTTTTATATTAAATTAAAATTAAACTGATATCAACAAAGCTTATTACATCGTTAAGTTTAATAGTTAAAACATTAATATACTATTATACATTAAATAAGTATTTTGTATACCTATAAAACAAATTATTAATGAATTTATTTTTATTTTAGGATGCTAGATGTCCTTGTCTAACAAACAATAGGGTAAGTATCTATAAATATGTATTCCAAATTCAAGTATCTTTATCTTGCTTAATATAGGAGGAGATAGCAGGTCGGCTAAAAGGAGAAAGTTTTAGAGAATTTGATGGTTATTTTGAATACATTTTCAAAATTATTTAAAATTATGTAGTTTTTGACTTTGAAAAAAAAACGGAAATGAATAATTTTATTTCTTAACAGTTAATTTGACACATTTAGAAGTATTACATTATTAAGACACTTTTTGATGGACAATATTTTTGTGGAAAAGTTTTTTTAATTATCATTTGTTTTCGAGATACCTGCCGCAATTTTGCTCCTTTTAAACGATGTGTCACATATCATCCACATTTTTAAGAAATACCCTTAAATTAATAAACAATTAATATTTTGATTAAGTTGGAACACTAAAAGGCATTAGTACCTGATAATATTTTTTAAATATCTGATTTCAGATAGGTAGTAAGAAAGAACTTTGAAACACTTTTTAAAAATTTATAAAACATTGCAATTATTAAAGTTTAAAGAACAAATTTTTAAAATGAGGGAACTGAGGTATGACAGTTGATGATATGATACCCCCTCTCAATAAAAATGACGTGTTATTAGATATTTTTGATAGTTCTATATTCTGAAATATTCAGGGTCGATCTCTTAAAAAAATCTCCCTGTATATACCTGTATGTCACAAAAATATGTAAGAATTCCGTATGATTTTAGGGTGCAGTATGCCCTTGTCTAACCAAGAAAAAAGTATCTGTTCCCAAACCTACAACTTCATCAGCGAGGAGCAACTCGTCAGTTTCTACGGTAAATATTTAAATACATTTGAAGATATTATTTGATACTTAGTTTTAATCATAGATATATAACCAAGACAGATAGGATGATTTACAAAATGTTTGAAGAATGAACGGTGGTGTCCGCGGTAGAAACTCAATAATCGGATTGAACATTGATGCCAAGTTTACGTGCTTTTAACTATAGATATATATAACCAATACAGATTACACAATTTCTGAAGTCAACGCGGATGATCCTCGACAGAAATGCAATATTTGGATAAAATTAAAATATTAATGCCAAGTTTGCGATGTTTTTAACTGTAGTAATGTTATTGCGTTTGCTTGAATTACTGTTAGGTCTTTAAATAGTCAAAAAAAAAAATAATGTCTGACAACAGCGGAAGTACAGTAGACCGCAATTATGGAGGGTCGTAAATTGTTTCATTTATAAAAATTCCTTCGATACAGTACTAGTCCAGGAGCCAGTGAATTTTTTCGTACTTGTTTTCCCGGTCCGTGTATATTTAAATAATCTATTCCCGGTGAACTGTATATTTAAAATGGCACGCCAATCTATTAACAAAAGTAAGCCAGATTGAATTCGCGCATTACGTCACACCGATACAAGTGAGATTGTTTACAAAGTGCCTTTGCAGGCCTATTTTGCCCATTTCATGTATTTGTTTTTAAATCATGTTAAATTACTATTTTTGAAACTCAACAAGAAGAAAATCCAATTAACTCTTCCATTGTGTATATATATATAAGATAAATTAACTGAAGTTTTATTAGTAAAGTATTAATACTAAAATTTTAATGTAATTTACAGAAAATAGCTAGGTATGTATTTGTTTTTAAATAATTTGATAATTTATGAAAAAAGGGATTAAAAGTGGAATGACCAGTGGCCAGTAGGTCAGTCAATACAAAGTATCATATATTTATATTATAACATAACTAAAATACCTACATCTTTTAATCATAAGGACATAAGTTAAAAACCATTTTAATATATGCATTAGAATGAAGTAATAATAACTTAAAGAGACGAGGTCTTAAAGTAATAGGTGGTACAGCATGTTTTTTAAACGTTTTCTCATTGCTGCTAGAATGAAATCACTTACTATGAAATGTGCTCTAAAAACGGCATTTATAGCAGTCAGTGTTCAGTCTTAGGATCTCTTCCTAAAGTCCTCATCCAAGCTGCATACATATTAAAAAATAATTTAAAAAAAACATATTATATACCTATATAGTTTTCGTTTCTGGGTGCCCTAAAAGAGGACACTTAGCCGACAATTTGGCTCAGATAGCTAAAACCCAAAAGTCACACCCCGAACCAGGACGTGTTGCTATCCTTTTAAGTAAATAACTACAAATAACTTACCTGAAAAATGAAGGCGTCTAACTTTACACCAAAAAAACCATACACTTTTTCCCATTGTTGCAAGCACCCGATGACGATTAGAAGCATGTACTTAATGGTTATAAAGCTTATTTTAACACAAAAAGAATAAAGCACTAGTCGAAAAGCAGCAATCAAATATAAATAGACCACAATATTAAAATTCAAATTAAAAACTATATAAAAGACAAATACTCTAAAAGCGCAAAATATCAGAACCAAATAAAATGAATAACCATAATAACCTAAAAATCACATTAAAATTGCAAAAACTATTACTGTAAAATCATGAGATTACATCAATAATGCATATGCGTCGGAGTATCGCAAATGTCAAAAGTACAGTGTTTCCATGAAAATTTAGCTATGTTTTTAGCAGTATTATAGGACCATTTCTACCACGCGCATCCAACGATATTGGCGTTCCACAGTTCACTGTATATTTCTCACACCTCTAGTATAAATGATTTGACATAACGAAACTAACAATAATTATAATTAATGTAGAGTAATAAGTGATTCGTGAATTCTAAATAAAACAATTATTATATAAAAGTGTAAAAGGAAATGTAATTTATTTTCTTCTGTAATATCTTCAATTATTATGTTTAATTTCTATAAATAAACCAACTGGTTAGGTGAAACATTGTGATATAAGATTTTATTTATGTGTCCTATGCGTACACTTTAATATACAAAACACCTGGAACATTCTTTAAATAATTGTGGTCGTAGAAATAATTGTGTACATAACTCGTTTGAAAGTGTATTTTATGCACTTGCCAAATATATTATCCATACAGATTAATCAGACTATTTTTTTACTTAACTTCAGTACATCTCTTACTACTAAAACTATTTTTATCAATGGAAAAAAGGGCCGTGTTCTCGTATGTTTTGAAGCATTTTCGGCATCAGCCCATCGGATACCCCCTCTAAATATATATGAATTTTGCTTAGAATTGCTAATCCTACAATTCTCTATTCGTGCTTGCTGACTGGGAAAATAAATACCGAAAATCGTCACTGTCTCCTGGATTATGCAATAGATGATGATGAGAACTTCACAACAAATACACTTTTATGAATGGCTAGTTGGGGATGTGGTTTTAATAAAGGAGGTAGAAAGGAATGGAACGTAATATCACGTGATATAATTAACGCCATATTCAGAGATGCCATATTGGTATGAAATGTTGACATTTGTATGTAAAGGTGTCTTTATATTGATGTTCTGATCATAGTAGGTAAGATCGGGGTTGATTGTGTCATTTTGTGTTTAATAATTTTGTATTATCAATCCAATAACGTTACAAAAATATTTTAAACTAACGTTTATTCTCTGGGGTTTTCTATACACAAATACCACAAAACACTGTGTAAAAAATAATAAAAAACATTGTTATTAAAAATAAAGATAAACAAGTTTAAATGTCACAACTAACCCCACTGCGGGGCTAGTTGTGACTCTGTCCAGATTGCTGAGCGACCACACTTTCGACCTTTCCTAGTATTAACCCTTCTGCCCGCCTTTGGCTGAGGTCGTGAATCTTCAGGAGAGAAATATTGCGACTGTAATCCTAAAGGACCTGCTTCATTTTGATCTGGGTCAGTTTGAGTGGATTCACCTCTGCTTGATGGAGACTTCAATTGTTTCTTGGTGTGATTTGCATTTCTGCATGGTGTGTTTGATCTATTGCCTGTTCTTCAGTTTGATGTAAGGGGTGGTTATCTTCTGTTACAGCCGCTGGAAGAAACTCGTCGTCAGAAAATATGTTTTTGTTAAACGGGTAGATTCCGCTAGCTCTAAAGCCCGCTTAAATATTTAAAGGAGTGGCTGCTAAAGGCAGAGCATCCCTGGCGATTTGAGGTATATTGTATATGATCATTGTTTTCCCGGGATTGTTTCGCATCCAAGAATCACACACACTATTTATATATTTCTTTAGCGAACCGTATACCGACCAATCCAAAGGTTGGAGTTTGTGTGAACAGTGAGGTGGTAACGAAATTACTACTACACCACTTTCCTTGCAGAAATTACTACCCTTAACAGAGGAGGATCTGGCATGTTAAGCAAAATGTTGTAAAAATATTAAAGTCATTTTCCATCATCCAATCTGACGGGTTTGCAGATCCAATGCATCCAGGTGGGCCACTGTTGACAAAATGTTCCCTATGGTCAACCATTTCAATTCCTAATAATAGTGTTTACAAAAAAGCTTGAAGCGCCGCACAAAACAACTTGGAGGGTCGCAGGTTGAGTATGGCTGCTCTAGACGGAACACTTGGCTTATGTTTTCAGCTGCAACCGTGCTACCATCTATAGGTTGCCGGTAAAAGCGTCTGTCACAACCAGCATCTTTCACAACCAACCCCAGTCTCTCCTACAGCATTTCTTTAAAAATTATAATGACTAAAAATGTTATAGAGTTATTCAATCTAGTGTAGATTAGAAAAAAATCATCTTTAGCAAGTAAATACCAAAACATATCCGTACTCTAGAAAATTAGGTTTTTTATTTTCAGAAAAAACCGAACCCCCTTTTTATATATGTGCAAAATTTCTCTTGGCTCTTTTTGAAAAATCGTTTAGATTTTTTCGTTACAAGTTTTTAATATTTAATTGAAGGGTTTAAAACTATTAATCCCTATATTCACTGCGAATTTGAAATAAGCTTCGCCTTTTGGTGATATATACTTAGGAAGACCTGTATGATATCTCCATCCCTTTACACTAGGGAGTTTTAATAGTTTCAAATGATTTTTTTATGGCCTTCGAGTATGTACAAATGAATTGATTCCCATGTTGATTTATCAATTTTACATACGATGTTAGACAAAGATAACAGGTATCAGTAATCACTAAACAAACACCCTGTGACAATGAGACTAGGAGCACGTTAATACCTATTTTGTTTATCAAGCTATTTTAATCAAATTTGGAACACAAATACTGAACATGATTTTGAATTGACACTTAAGGCCAACTTCTGGTTTTACCAGAAATGTCATTAAGAATAATTTTTTATAAATGGATCATTATTGTTTTTATTTTAGAATCTACGGGTCAACTTGCATATGACAGAGTTGCCAAATTTAAATTTTTTTTAAATATTTGTTTTTATATAGAAGGCTATGAACTAAAAAATAATGTTTTAAGAGGTGCATGATGCATATTGTCAAATTGTTAATAACGTTTTCTATTTAAAGACCAAATGGCTTTCAATAGGTTCCATTTACAAAAATGATATTCCTACAAACATTTTGATCTGGGGAAATAATGGCCCATAATTGTCTGGCTCCAAGTATAATGATGAATGAAGGCCATTTAACTTTTACCTGCAAAGGGCCGGTATATATGGGCCACTAAGGCCGACACTCGGATCACAGTCATTTTGTCATCAATAACAGTTACAGGGTATTTAATATCCCAGAGTCACTTTGTCATCATACAGTTAAAGGGCCTTCGATGGCTGACAGTAGTTGCAATAATGGCTATTTTTATTGTATCATCAGTTTATTGGAAAATGAAGGCCCAGTTTGAGGAAAGCGATGTTTGAATTGCCGATCATTTCAATGTTGATTATAAATAAATCATTGAAACATTTGCAATTAAAAAAATTTTCCTTAAATTTTACTACAAATTTCAAATTCAACTAAAGATGGATTTTTACATGCTTATCAACTTTTAGGGTAATTATTTAAAATCGAACGGAAGGTAAATATATAACTATAATAAAGATATATATAATGCTTGGCATTCTATATTAAACTCTTAATAGTTTAACAGACCCCCTTAACCTACTATTTTTAATCAGATATTTTTTTCATAAACCTTATAGAGCTTGATTTATTCCAAAAATGTCATGTTGAAATCGCTTTTCGTTTTTGATATCTGATTTGTTTTTAAATTTAAACCCCCCTTAAACCCCAGTTTTATTAAAAATTTTTCAAAATCAATAAACTTCGTCTTCTAATAAGATTTATTTTTGCTAAAAATTTCAAGATTATATCATTTTTCGTTTTCCCATCAAAACACTTACTTTGAATAAAGATTGACAGAACCCAGTGGCAGTTCATGACCAAAATATTGGAGGTTAACAATGTTCACAAGGTTCACTCAGTACAGATGTATGTAAAAAAACTTCCAGTTTTTTAGGTATATTATACCTTTCTATACCTATATCTCTCTAACTGAAATTTTTTTCCTACATCTGTACTGAGATCTATATTCTGTCATTGTAAACCCCCAATATTTTGATAACGAGCCGCCACTGATAAAACCTTTTGCTTCTGCAAGTTATAAGTACCAAAAAAGACATAAAAATTCTTCTAATTCTTCTTTTTTTGTGTGTCATCAGCATCAACAGCTACGGTTATTAGCCTCGTGTTCTGTGTAGTCTTTGTTACTGTTTCCCAGCACCACTTTAGGAACAGCACTGTTAATTAGTACCCAACAGTGAATGGTCGAGTGGGGAATCCTACCAAGGCATCAGAATTAATTTTAAATAATTAAATTAAATGAAAAAATCCCAGCCAACGGTGGGATTCGAACCTGAGACCCTTGGATCCGCAGGCAGAGACTCTACCACTGAGCCACCCACCCCGTTTTGTACTGTATTGATCTTGTATTTATGAATACCTAGCCACTTACAAAACGTGTATTTCGTAAAGGTTATAAACGGTTGAAAACTACACTTTCATCCATTAACTTTAACCTTTTTGTTTCTCTTAGCCAAAACCCATTAGAAATTTTGTAGATATAACTTAAATTGTATAAGCTATTAAAAATTCCAAACATATAAAAAGGACATGTGACTGTCTCCCAACGCAAATCCAACATCCATTAATGACTAATGGCCCACAAATTATGAAAATATAATAGCCTTTCATTATTTAGCCAACATGGTCATGCCCCAATCAGTTTCTCTGCAGTTGATTGTTTGTTGAACTGTTTTAGAAATTTATTTTTATCTGAAGGATTTATTTTTGACTCAACTTTTAAAATAGCTTTCCAAGCTATTAGAAAATAAAATTAAGAAAAAAGTTTGAAAAAAATGAAAATTTGGCAAAACCGTCATATAAAATTTGAATCATAGATTCATAAATACATAATATACAGGGTCATCTATTTAATAAATCAAACTTAATGGCATTTCCGTTAAAACCGGAAGTCGTCCATTTTGTTGTTTAAGTATAAGTGCTAATTCGAGATTATGTCTAGTAGGTTTGTCTCAAGTTTGATTTAAATCGCTTCATAAATAACAGATATTAAGGTGGCTCTGGTGTCATTGTCACCCAGTACATAAAATAACAAAATCTGCTTATATATTCGACCCCATTACTTTCAAAATGATTACATTTATGGTCTCTTTGAATAAGTTAAGTCTAATTTATCAACACATCGTTTTAAACTTTTAAATATTTTAAAACCGTTTAAAGAATAATATATTGGCCCCAGTATTAATTTTTATATACTTAATAATTTTAAATGTAGATACCTTCTTATCATGATGACCTTTCATATTTTTAATAGATCCAATTTGATAATTTTTAAAATACTGGTACTTATTTTATTTCACAGATCGGATCGCAGAATTCTGGACCATTAATGGGAGTAAAACAAACTATTGATAGAATCAGAAAACAGCTTGCTTCAAATGCAAATAATATTGAAACTGCTAGACAATCTGTCAGAGAAACTAATATTACGAAGTTTCCGGATTCGTTTACAAGGGTTCTCAGTCATTCTGAAAAGTCGACTATACATAAACAAACTTCTAACAATGTTGCTACTAAACTACAGAAATCATCTACATTAAAGAAGAACTCTACTTTACCAAAAACTTCTGTTTCTGAGAAAAACTTACCAAGCACTAAAATAGTTGTGAATAAAACCATTATCAACAAAAATAAATCCACGCAGAGTTCAAAAGATAAAAGTTCAATCAATATCACTAATTATTCAAAAAGTGACATTCCTTCTTCCACAAAAATAAATCATAACAGCACTAGTGTTTCAAAAAGCATCAATGTTTTATCAACAAGTAAAACATTGTCTGACATCAACAGCTTTTTAAAAGAACAAAGTAGGAAGCAAACAAATTCTATTGTAGAAAACTCTATTAGACTTATTCGTAATACTTCCGAAGAGCAAAGTTTTTTTAAAAACGTAGATTCAACTGACATTTCGCTAAAGATTCCCCATAATATTTCAAGAAGTAGAAGTTTATCTCCGGGCTATAAAGGCAGTTTCAACGAAAAGGAAGTTACACACAATCAACATGGAAAATCAAATTTGTCATCTTTGAAGGTAATACTGAAAACTCGTTATTTAGATGCCACAGTATTTTGGATAAAAGTTCAAAATAACAATATTACACGAAAGTTCCACTACAAATTTATTTTAATTTCTGTTTACAGGTCCATTCTCATAACTTGCCTACTTCAAAGATTCATTCCAAATCAGCGTCAAACATATCTGTAAGTAATTATTAATATTATCAATATGCTCCAACGCAACATAACATGCTTTATTTGTCTTCACTTCATACAAATTATTGAAGAAATAAAATTCATTTTATTTGCAACAAATATGTCCAATGTAAAATCAATTCACGTGTTTCAGCGTTTTTTAAGTTACTGGTTGAACAGTTAATAATTTTATTCCGGACTCTGTATATATATTTATTTATTCATATACAGTATCGGCTATTGAAAACCCTCTAATACGGTTTGCTAGTGTTGAAGTGAAAACTACGGAAACTTCGCATTAGTTCGAGAAGAAAACGAATAATATCAACGTTTCCAACGGCCTGGCTGCGTTGGGATTGTAGGTATATCTGTCGATGTGTGCCTATTCTTAATTCACATCACACAGCACAAAGCGCAGACAGATAGCTCAATACACACAGAAGATCAACGGTGATACTCGAGAGTTATCCCCACGCAGCCAAGCGGCCGTTTACTAGCAACGTTGTTATTTTAGTTTCTTTCTTGCACTAATAAACTAATAATAAAAAAGTTTCTCATTTGTGGTCAACTTTAAGGGACACATTCATAGGCAACGCCACACGAGGGCAAGCGCCCTTGATTTATGATTTTGGATTTTTCGCTATGGCTTTCGGCTTTAGCCTACGGCATTTTGAACTTGCCTATAAGACTTGCCCTCCAGCATATTTTTGCGCGGCGCCCATGGACACATTGTTTATTGACAATATGAAAAACATTTGTTTTTAGTTTCTGCTAATCACAGTATTAATTAGTGAGCATAACTGTGATTGTATTCAATACAATCCTGGATGTTTTCACACCCCAGTTTATTATCATAAACATCAATCTCCTTTCATGAACAAATCATATATAGCAAACTCCAACCTTAAATATCAAATACAGCAAACTCCAATATATATATATAGCCAATTTAAAATATTATTCAAAATCCTATGACGATTTTGACTGCAATTTACATAAAGTAATTTATTTACACACTCAAAAGCCAAAACAGTAATTTTATGTAACGTCCTAATATTTTTTAAATAGTTTTTGTTGTGTAGTGGAAAATTTAGAAAAGTGGACTTTGCTACATTTGATTTTAGACGCCTGATTTGAGGAGAATATAAACTGAACAGAGAGAGAAAATGTACTGTAGCCACGCCTAGACGTTTATTTTATCGGCAATATAACATGCTTTATCTTTCTTGACTTCATACAATTTGTTAACTGTCTTATACTAACTTTCATTGAGAGATACATATCATTTGAGATAAATATAAACTGAACAGAGAAAGAAAATGTACTATAGCCACGCCTAGATGTCTATTTTATCGGTTTACGGTTTATTCAAAAGAAACTAAGTAGGATTACATTACCGCTATCTATCGTTCTGACAGTTTACTTTTCTATCTCGAGTTACAGCAGCAGCCTATGTTCGAGAATGGATTTATTTTCTTTATTAATTTCTTAATTTAAATTATTCGCGTTATCTATTTTTGACACTTTGCCCCACCCAAACGATTCATGCTTTGGACCTTTTCGAAGAACCAAGAGAGCTCGATGTACCGCCAACGAAGTAATTAGTTCGCTTGCTACTGCTTAATTTGTGCCTTTGCTCGTCTACGATTCCAATATTCCAAAAAAAAGGTGAGGTGTCAAATACATTTATTAATTTATTTAGTTTTATTATTTGAATCAGCCCTTTTGGCAGCATAACATCCGTTCTGTCTCAGCCTAAGAAATTTAATAATCTGTATAGTGGATATAACACCACTTTTAAAACTGACAACAATATCCCGTGTTTATATTGTTGTAAAAGATATCCAAACATTGGACGGTAGAAGAGCTCGATTTTTTTGTGAAGAGCACATTTCGTCATAGCTATGCCACACTCAAAATAGCTAAATAAATGCAACCAGTACAAATAAGTAACACTAAGCTACTGAATTCAACTTGTATGAGCGGTGATGAGCGGCAGGTGGCTTCAATCACGTTTAAATCTGTCTGACCACGCCTACAAACTCAAATTGATTTCTGCACAATATGACAAAAAAATCGAGCTCTACCTACCTATTACAGATGGTTTAAGGGACTTATATTGACCCGTTTATGAAACCTAAATGTGCTTGCTATATACAGATTCGTCTTTAATTTGTCTTAGGAACTTATAGCGCAAAACTATAAAGAGTAACAGAAAAAATACTATTCATATAAAGCAAGAATAAGAAAACAATTCCACTATTCTTCCCGATGCTTAAGACCGATTTCATCCGTTGACTCTAGCATGCAAACCAAACAAATTTAGCCTACACCAGACCGAGTCCATGGCGCATGAAGGTGAAACTATAGATTCTGGTTAATATGCCGAACGTTATTTATACCACTCGTGAAGTGGTACTATTTATTTGCAGTTGCATTAGCAAATAAGCCAATTGCTACAAACCGCCAGTCTGTGCATTAGCTGAAGCTACACCGGCTTCAAGTAGACAAATTGCCGCTGAAGTTGGTCTAAAGGTGAGACAAATACGAAACATTTTAAAAAGAAACGGTACAGAATTGAGTAATAAGTATAACTGTATGCGCACAATACACCCAAAATCCTCAGAGAGAGAGAGAGAGAATCGTTGAGAATCGTTTTCGCGATAAACGTGAATTTTTCCAAGACCCACTTTAGAAATATTTTTTGTAGATCACTCCTTATATTGTTAAGAAATAATGTTACTTATCTTAAAAGTAAGTCTATTTGATAAATATTTAGGTAGATATATTTTTAACTTACAGACCGAAAGTAATCCTATACCTTTCCAAAGGAAATCTAAAGTAACATTCACTTTGAACATCAGTTTCGAAGATAATTTCAACTCTGGACAAAATACAGGCAATGTAGCAAAAGTTTCGATCACAGGTGATTTTCATGGGAGTACAGGTAAATATTTGATTTTTTCGTAATACACGTCTATTTAGCCCGTATGCAGGTTCAAAAATATAAAAACCGCGATATAGCCTTATAATGAATTGAAAAAAATTATGGAAAAAATCAGTATTAAAGTTTTAGGTATTTCAATATTCCAACCAATCTCCTCAAGGGGTACTTTACTCCTGCCAATTTTGACAAATAAGTGTCAGGTACTAGAAAAAACGCAGTAAACTGCTAGACTTCGTACACGTAATACAGATATCATTACCTTTTTGCCAGGTGAATTCATTTTGCCCCTGATCTCCTCCAAGGGGTACTTTACTCTTGTCAATTTTGACAAAATTAGTGCCAGGTACTAGAAAAACGCGCTAGATTGCCTATATTTCGCACACGTAATACTCATTACATTTATATATTTTTTAAATATTTGAACCCCCCCTTATACAACACATTTTTTTTAAAGATGATATCGTTTTTTGTTTTTGACTTATTAGTACAGGGTACGAAGTAACACCCATTTGCTTAATGGATAAAAGGTATTTTGTATCAAAACAAATATGTTAATAAATATACCAGAGAAATGGGTTGCCTAAAAAAATACTGTAAAGGCTATTTTTACTTTCCTTTCTGCATACAGATAAGGAAAGTACAAGAATCATAATAAAAATTGCTTGTGATGTCATTCTCTATATTTTGTTCTATACATAAATGGACCGTATTCGAGATACTTGAGAAAAAGTGCAAATTTCGAATTTAGAAGATAACTCAAAAACGGACAAAGAAAAAAACGCCAAATTTTAAATTTAAGCTTAAATCTATCCTGCGGTGAGCTGATTAAATTTTGGGGATACTTTATAGATGTCTTTTTTACGTTAGGAATATAAATAGTCTTCGACAGTATTATCTTAGGCAATCCATCCATCGTGTCGCATGTATTGGTGTGAGTAGACGTGTTTATTTGTGTGCTACTATTTTGGCTAAAACTGTGAGAAAAAGTACACTCAAAACGTTGAAACTTAGTACAGGTACTGGTTCTATGTAATATTTTAAGCTTATACTAATAATTAAAAATAAAATATTATCGTACTGCATAATTTTCGGTTATTTTGATAATTCCAAATGCAAGGGATCAGAAATCTAAAGAAGACGTAGATCAACTGCATCTAGCAATTACGGCTGCTGTAAATAAACTATGTACGTCGGAAAATTTTATCACTCAGCTAAGTGATACAATTTTTAAGTCTATTAAAGAAGAAATCAACAAGGAAATTAATAATCTAAAACAAAAAACTGATAAGTTAGAAGCGACTATCTTGAGACAAGATGAAGTCCATGATGAAAAGTAATGAAAAGCATGAGCGATTTATCCGTAAAAATATTAATTTGGTTTATGGCATGAAAAAAAATGATGAGGATTGTGAAACTGATCTAATTAATATTTTTAACAATAAAATGAAATCAAAGATAAAGGACATTGAACGATGCTTTAGGGTTGGAAAACCTAGCACATGAAAATGCAGGCAAATTCTTTAATGGTTATCATCGAAGCGTAGTTTTTCAACATAAAAAATGCTTAAAGGTTCCAAAATTGTGATTAGAGAAGACCTGACGGCAGAGCAATTAAAGCTATTAAAGACGGCCTTGAAAAAAGTTGGAAGAAATGGGAAAGCTTGGACAAACTTTGGAGTTATATTATTTCTAGAGATTTAGCTAGAATACAATATGTACGAGCCCTAACAACTATATATTGGGACAAAACAAAATACATCAATTATATATAAGTAGTTGAGAGTTATTTTGTTTTCTAATTGTTCTTTTATTTTATTATTGTTTATTTAGTTTATTAACAACAATTTTGGACAATCAGCAACACAAAAAATAAAATACTTATTCTATAATCTGAAATTTACAAGAAAAAGGTGCATTTTGTGTGGCAACTAAATAATGGGACAGCATAAAATAACTGTCAAATATCAAACAAGATTAAACCAGTAGGCGGCGAGAACAATACATAAAAGAAATGTCAGTTTATTTTGTAGTTAAATTCTTATCGTAATAAGTGAATCACCGCATATATTGAACAAAATGGTGCGTGGTATCTCTACAAATTCAAAAATTCGTGAATTAGTGATTAAAAGTTATTGTCGCAATAAAACAATACGTGTAGTAGCGGCTGAATTTAATATACCTAAAACTACAGTGTGGAATATAATTAAACATTATGGAGAGAATGGAAATATCTTGGAAAAAAAAAACGTAGAAGTCCAGGTCGCCCAAAAGAAGTTTCGGACGTGAATAAGAGAGTCTTGGTAAAATTATGCAAAAAAGGCCGAAGAAATACTTTAAGACAAGTTACAGCTGAGTGGAATCATGAAACGGGTCTAAATTTGTCAAGGGAATGCTGTCGCAAGTGGATACATAAAAGTGGACTTAAGTTTTATAAGGTTAAATTTACAGGTAACAATTTAAAAAGGTGTTTTTAAAAATGTAATATTCTTATAGGCAAAGGAAAAGCCACTATTAACAGCAAAACAAAAGCAAGCCAAGCTTACATGGGCAAAATCTAAATTGTCTTGGTCAGTAGAAGACTGGTCTCGGGTAATTTTTAGCGATGAATCGAAGTTCGATGTATGCGTTGGTGATTACCGCAAACGGGTAATTCGCACTAAGAATGAGGCTTTTCACAAAGATTGCTTAAAACGAACTGTAAAATTTCCTAAAGGAGTAATGATTTGGGGTTGTATGGCTGCATCAGGATTAGGATGCTTTGAATTTATTGATGGTACCGTGAATGCCGCAAAATATCAACAAATACTTGAAAACAGTCTACTGCCAAGTGTAGAGAAGTTAAATATTGTTGAAAATTATATCTTTCAACAGGATGGGGCGGCCTGTCATACGGCTAAAACTACCAAAAAGTGGTTCGGAGACCACAATGTTAATGTCCTCTCTTGGCCTTCCAACAGTCCTGACCTTAATGTTATAGAAACAGTATGGCATAAAATGAAACAGTCATTGAGAAACAACCCACAACGGACATTACCAGAACTTAAAGCCAAAATAGAGCAGATTTGGAATGCCTTTTCCCCCGAACAGTGCAGATCCTTGATCGAGTCAATGCCCAAACGAATTCGAGCAGTCATAAAATCTAAGGGCGATGTTACTCCATTTTAAAAATAAAAATTTGTTCTATGTCCCATTATTTAGTTGCCACACAAAATGCACCTTTTTCTTGTTAATTATGTTAATTAGTGATTATACAATAAGTATTTTATTTTTTTCTGGTGCAGATTGACCAAAATTGTTGCCAATTAATTAAATAAACAGTAATTAAATAAAAGAACAATTATTAGAAAAAAATAACTGTCAACTACTTATATAATTGATGTATTTTGTTTTGTCCCAATATATAGTTGTTAGGGCTCGTAAATGTCAATTCTTGTTTAAAAAATATTTTACTTGGTCTCTATTTTTTTTGGAAATTATTAGTTTTTCTTTCTTTGTTTTGCAAATAAATATTTATGTAAGTGTTAGAGCTCGATTTTTTTGTAAAGAGTACATTTCGTCATAGCTATTCCACACTCAAAATAGCTAAATAAATGCAAAAAGTACAAATATGCTATTGAATTCAACTTGTATGAGTGGTGATGAGCGGCAGGCGGCTTTGATCACGTTTAAATCTGTCTGACCACGCCTACAAACTCAAATTGGTTTCTGCATATTATGACGAAGTGTGCTCTTCACAAAAAATCGAACTCTACTTATTTTATTAGGTTGTAAGATTAATATAGTACACAATAAGTGCAAAAGGCACTCACCAACATAATATTTTGAGTTCTTTATCTATACAGTTTTTAAGTTGCTTTTTTTTACTTTAACCTTTTCCGTGAAACATAATTATTATTTAGGAATGCTTGATAATTTATATATAGGATATCTCAACGCAAGATCTCTTTTACCAAATTTTTAAAATGTGAAAACAATTTTTAATGGCTATCTCCCTAGACCAAATATAAGTGACTATTGATATTAAATTATTCTCGATATTTAGATTCAACAAAAATAGCCGACTATTATCAAGGTCTTGGTATATTACCCTTGAATATATTATATATCGTGTTGATATTTTATTTATATGTCAAACTTGACTGAATGAAAATGTATTAAATAATGTAATTTCTTTTGAAGGCTACAACATATTTTGACTAGACCGTGGATCATTGGGAGGAGGCTTGTGTACCTATTTATGTTAACAATACAATATATAGTGAGCAGTTGAATTATCAAAGAACTATATCTGAATAACTTTAGATAAAGATAAAAGTAGCAAACAAGAGTATAGCTCTTGGTGCAATATACAAGCCCCCCCCCCCCCCCGAATTAATGAGAATTTTTTTGTGATGAATTTGAGGATAATTTGAGTTTAATATATCCTACTGTGGATTAGGTCCTGTGCGGTGGAGATCTAAACATTGACTTTTTAAACGTTGATAATGTTACGGTTGATAAAATGATAAATGTATTAGACTGTTTTGGTCTTAGCCAAATAATATTGGATACTCCTACGTGAATTACGGCCACTAACTCAACCTTGTTAAATAGTATAGTTACATCGCCTGAATGGGTAGTTGAAAATGACATTATTCATGTAGCAGGCATTATAGGCGATCATGATATAGCCTCTTGTAAGGTGAAGGTGTGTGTTCACAGACGGGAGCCTAAAAATATTAGATATAGATCATTTAAAATGTTTAACGATGATGATTTTCAAAGGGACTTACTTGACACACCGTTTTTTTTAAATCTTTGATAAAGAAAATGCAGATAGAAAAATTTCTCTATTTGTTAACTTGTTAATAAATGTATTAGACAGACATGTATCCTTAGTAACTTCGCGAGTAATCAAACCTAGAGCACCATGGTTAACAGGCGCTATTAGAAGAATGATGGCAATACGAAATAAAACTTTAATTAGATATAGGAAAACCCAATCAGCCTAAATATCAACAGTGACAAGTCCAATGTCATTATTTTTGGAAATAGGGCAAAAAGAAACGAGATTAGTTCAGATATTAACATTTTTGTTGAAAATATACCGCTACAGATTGTTAGTAAAGCTAGAAGTTTGAGGGTGATATTAGATTGTGACTTGAAGTTTGAAGCACATGTTAATCAACTAGTAAAACGCGCATATTTTATTCTTAAAGTATTGTATGGGAGTAGGCATTTTTTACCATCACATATCAAATCGGGACTATGTAATACCCTAATACTATCTATTTTTAATTATGCAGATATACTCTATGGCCCATTTTTGAACAGCTTGTATATAAAAAAGATTCAAAAAGTCCAAAACTCTTGCTTACGTCTTATATACGGTATTCGTAGAAGAGAGCATATCAGTCACAAACTAAAAGAGAAATGGTTGGTTAAATATGGCCGATAGAAGGATTATGCATGCAGCAGTGGTATTCCATAAAATTCTAGTTAATAAGACAATTTCCTACTTGCACAAAAAGTGACTTATCGGACTCACGTTCACAATCTAAATGTTAGATATAAGGGTATTCTTCCTCCTCCTTTTTTCATATTAGAACTTTTTAGACGTAGCTTTACATACCAAATATGTTCTATTTATGATGATATCCCTGCATCCTATGAAACTTACTCAATATACAAATTTAAAAGGGCTTCTAAACAATTTTTATTTAAACGGTAATTTATTTATTTATTTTATTTATTTATTTATTCTTACATTCAACGGCCAAGGCCTATTACAGAATGCGCACTTAACATTAATAAACATATATTTGTAAATAATACAATAAAAGCAAAACAATAGTATATTATGCAACGATCATGTAATGATGGTTATTAATACACGAGCATTAACCGGGATACGAAACGAGCCAAAGGCGAGTTTCGTATGGTCTATGCGAGTGTTTTAATAACCATTACATGAGAGTTGCATACGCTATTTTTTCTACACCCGATAAATAATCAAGACCTATAAATATTTTATTTATATTGGTATTGAACACAATAACAGTAATTACTCGTATTTCTATAAAAAATTCTACAAAATTGTAATTAATGGTATTACTTCGGGTATTGGTATTTCCCTAGATTTTTGCTGCAAAATATTTTGTACTGTATTTTCTGCTTTCTCCGATATGTGTGGAAGAGTCTTCTATATCGCTGATATGAGACAATAAAGAAATCATTGGGTTGAGACATTAGAAATAAATATGTAAAAGTAAATCCTATAGGTTTTAAAGCAAGTATAAGGTAATGTGTTTTATTGTTTGATACTATTCATATTAGACTAGCGGCATTTAATTTCAGGTTAAGTGGAAGAACAATTTACTGGTGATCCATTACCAGATAAATTGAACTCTGCCTTTTGTTTTTAATTTTAAGTATTAAATGTTAATAAACTTGTGTATTAGTTTAAAAACAATAAAGTCGATTATTATATTATTATTTTTTACGTTATATTTATTAACATATTTTATTTAATAAAAAATACTTCCATCCATTAATCAGATGGATGAAAGTTGACCTTACTTCGTATCTTAGACCACATTATGCAAACAAAAAACATGACATCGGACGGACAAAACTAAACCTATAATACTCTTCACAGACTACTTTGTGAAGTGCAATGATTTAAACTAAGCATATCAATATTTTGCCCTATACTGAAATTTAAAAGTATTTTACCCTTCATTATAAATCATTATTTTTCTTTTACCTGTATACCATCAATATTTTATGAAATTTAATTTTTGACTATGTATTTCCAAGTGTTGCAAAACTTTCGTTTTATCTTCTAGGTAATTAATACAATATATGCGATGACCGATGGCTGGACCAATACCTAGTTTTTAATTGTCTTTATGTTTTAATAATTTATTATTTTTTTGATATCTAAGTGTAAAAAATATCTAAGAAAACAATTTTTACTTATGGGATATACCAAACGAATTACAAAAGTGTTTTTTTAAGTGCTTATTCTGAACTAATGTATCCAACCGTTTATACATCTTTGGATCTTCGGGGTGCGATGGCTTAAAACATATTCTTTTGTTTAAATTTATTATAGTAATACGGTGGCATTTAAATTTTTTACAATGAATCAAAAACTATAGCGATTTTGTATTTCGCTGTATTTAAATTGTGACTATTAATATCGGGCTAATAATATTTTTCCAAATTAACTATGTTCTACCTTCTGTAAACTAGAAGAAAAATTGTTTCCTTAAACTTAAAAATGTATAAAGTGGTTTATTTTATATTATTTTTTTTCTATTACCCTCTATATTGTACTATATTTTAATTATCTGATATAAATAAAATTTACATTTGAAAAATTGCTAAATTATTTTCCTACACTTATAATAAAAAATTAAATCTACTTACTTATTTGACTCAGGTACAAATTCATACAAAAAATGAATTATTATAAAGGATGCTTTATATTTTATATACAGGGTGTCCCGAAATTAGACGGTCATATTTTAACAGCGTAATCTACATTCTAAAATAGGAGTAAAAGTTCATATAAACATAGATCCGAAAACGTTTCGTTTTCGAGATACAGGGTGTTACAATTGAAGTCATGATGGTACATATTTGTAAATATTTTATAAAATTTCTTTAGTCACCGGTTTTCCAAAGTTAAAAAACTTAAAATGTTTGATTCCACAGGCCTACTAATTATTGTTTACACTTTCGAATAACTTATCTTGATATTTTCAAATGTTTTTGTCTTGAAAATGGTGCGTCCTAGCAAGATGCAACAGACGTAGCTTTATTATAAAGAAAACATTGGTTTTCCAAATTTTATAGTCAAAAATGTTAGAAATTGCAAACAAAAAAAATTTAGGGAAATTTTACCCTAAGCCCCCCAATTTACCCACCTATGAAGATGATTAAAAACTGGGGTTCAATCAATTAAATAGAGCGTAGAAAGGTAAGCATTTGTACCAAATTTTACTTAGTTATCTTTAAAAGTTTAGAAAATATTTACAAAAGTGTGTCATCAGGACTTCACTTTTAACACCCTGTATCTCGGAAAAGAAACGTTTTCGGACCTATGTTTATATAAACTTTTACTCCTATTTTAGGATGTAGATTACGCTGTTAAAATATGACCGTCTAATTTCGGTATATATGCTTTATATGCTTATTGAGCAGAAAGATTGAAGTCGGCGTCTAGCTAGTGAAAAAAACGACAGAATGAGCCTATCTATATTTTTTTAATAAAAAGGCATTGCTGATTCAACAATTTCGAAATAAAATTTTAATCTTAAATCCCGATGTGTGATACGATGGAACGCCTTTCAGCGTAACTATTTCAAAAGGGTCACATTTTTGTGTGACATGTGACCTTTTCGAACCAAACTCAGTAAAACGGGTATCTAGTTAATGTAGTTCTAGGAATTCCAGCATAATATTTTGTTCTTTTTTCCTACCAAATAGTTAACATTTAATAAAATTTGCAAAAAACAATGGCTGAAATTGTCGTTTGCGCCCTTTTTCAAATAAACGATTTAAATAAAGTTCATTTCTTTTACTTTTATTTGCTTTGTGGTAGGTATGGAATTAATTAAGTTTAAAAGGTTATATGAGTGAAAATATGAGAGAATGATAACAAAAGAAAACAAATGTAAATTTATAATATTTTACTTAGAATATTTTTGGTAATCAAATCTAATTTATTACACAGAAACAAAAAAAAATAAAATATAGAAATTATGTGCCTTTTTTCTATAACATCTATTTGAACTAAACTTCCCATATTTACAAAACTGGATATAAAGCAAATGCAGCAATACCACAATTATTAGTATTTCTTACAAAATACATGTAACCATCCATACCCCAATCTTTACCCCAAGAATTTTTTATAATCCAGTAGTCCTCCTCTGTCCTATGATCAAGATCGTATCCAATAACTAATACAGAGTGGCTTAGTGTAAGATCCTCTATACAATCATTATCATAGTATACTCCTAAAATAAAAAAAACGTAATTTAAAAAATGCCATTTTTTATAAGTTGGTAGCTAAAGCTAAAAGACAAAGTTGGGTCATTTTGGCTGACTACTATTTTATGACATAAATGTAAAGACCGGCATATTAGTAGGTAACTTTCCCCACAAAACGTGTTTTTAGAAAGTAGAGTAATAATTTTAGGGCCCACGCGGTAGTAAACAAAAAACAGTTCCTTATTGTATTTATAAGTCATATATACCTTGATATGGGATAATTCCCTTTTTTTATATGGTTATAGGAAAGGAACAAATTTCAGAAATTAGCCAAATCCAGTCAAGTCATCTTACATAAACAATACTAGTAGAATTATTCGAGCAAATGCCGACACACAAGTTCCTCTCTACTTCGTCTAAAAACGACTTCAAGCAGGTGATGTTGGCTCACTATTCATACGGTTCATATGAGCCACTGCCAATGCTTATATCCCGAGAGTACGTCGTCAAAAAAATGTCAGAGTACTTGGATATTTTATGGTTATAATTACTTTTAAATTAATTATAAAAAACAATTTTACCTTCATGATAGAATTGAAAATGTCTTGCGTCTACAGTTGCAGATACTGGTTGTTTAGCAACAGCTTGCTTTAAATCTTCTTCGTCGTTCTCGTTTACAAAAATATAGTTTTTGATTTTCAATAAGGCTTGCGTTCCATTTATATGGCATTCGTCATCTAGTGCTGTATAAGGGTACGCCCCTTCTGTTGTTATCCCTTGTTCTTGAACGTACTTCATAGCTTTATCCGGCCAACAACCAGAACAACCATGACATTCATCTCTAGCACAGTCAAGAAGGTTTTGTTCACTCATGGAAACGAGTTTTCCAGATTTAATGAAATGTGCACCTTCAATTGCGCCAGTCTGAAAAAAGAAAATAAATATTTAATCGCTATAATTCAAATGAAGCACATTTTTTAAATAAGATTATAAAAAAATATGAGACCTACAACTCCATTTCGCACAAAAAAATTTATTATGAGTAGCACATGTAATATAGTGTTAGCAACTTGTACACATCTGTCCCAAGATTTGAGAACATACTTTAGATTAGATTTAAAAGGTGTTGGACAATATTTGTCCTTGTCAAATCTATTGTGAGATTGCGTTTTTTTAGAGTATGTTGTCTAGCTTGGTCTTTTTTAATAGATTCAGTAGCTTTGACAGTGTCTCCCGCATGTAGTTACATGCGTTTGGCTTTTCTTGGTCTAATGTAAGAAACCTTATTCTAGCCAGGCCTTCACATTGGCACAGGTCGTTGATTGATCTTTCCTTTTCTACTTAACAGAACCTGCACAAAGTTGCTTCTTCTGCTGGTTTGATGACACTCATATGCTTTCTTAGGCGACAGTGTCCAGTAAGAAGACCTACTGTTATCCTAATGGTTTAACGTTTTTGATCCAGTGAGTATTTCGTGAACTTGGCCGATGGTTTCTTTGTGACGAAATCACTAATATTTCCATTAATTTATTCTCTAAATTAATTTCTAAAACTAATTTCCGTCTATGAATATTTCCATAGAATTACCTATTTAAACCTTTGCAAGAGCACTCGTAGTAAAACTTTTCATTATCACCATAATTTAAATTGTGTCTTAAAATCTCAATTCTGGTAGGGTTATCAGTATTCCGATCAACCAACGTTTTTTGTAAAACAACTAATAACAAAGGAATAGGAACTAGCGTCCCCAATCTGGCAAAAAGTCCGACTTTTGATAAAAGCAGACGTTTTTGATGGAAGCACTCTTCTCTCCCGCCCCGGCTTTTGTTGACTGTGAGTTTTACACCGCGATTTACATTATACTGTGCTTCAGAGTAGTTTTGCCGTTCGAGACCGATTTTCGCAATTTACATTCGTGCACTAAAAACCATTGTGAGGACTTTTTCAAGGTAGACACTTTAAAATTCCATCCAATAATTCTGCCTGCAACATTCATTTTCCGTTTCCATTGTCTACTTAAGAAATTCGACTTGTAGTTTTAATTTCCTTAGTACCTATCAGGGTAATAAAGTAAATGGGATTTAAATCCGGGGGCACTCGCACCATTCATCCATTTTCGCGTTAACCAGGGGGTGATAGCGGTATTCGTTTGTTCCCCCCCGTCGATAATCAGAGCTGTTTCAGCCCCTAGTCTTTATAACAGCTCGTGGAAAGAATTTCTCTCTTGTAGAAGCTATGGACTATCAGATGTCTACATAAGAGAAACTTTAAACCGAATAATAAAAAAACCGTCACTGTTCCCTAAAGTATTAGTCGAACGATCCCGTCTTTAATTTATTTTTTATTTGGGGCTATTGTGCCTGGTGTAAAGTAATAATTGCGGGGAGGATATTAACTGATATTCTTATTTTTATTTTCTAATAATTATAGTTCAAATCATATTTAATTTTACTGTTGTAGGATTTTTCTCTTACTACTAAAACCGGTTGCTTCCTTTAGTAGGAAAGAATTTGTGGAAAGGGTGGTACTGCCCACCATTTTTTAAAAGGAAATTATTATTTTTATTTTCTCATGATAGTATAAGTCATATATAATTTTACAGTTATAGGACTTTTCTGTTGATACCGAGACCGTTTACTTCATCAACAACACATTTGATTTGTTTATATTTTTTTTATTGTTGTTACATATACCGGGTGATGTTATTTCACCCAAGTTCCATTTATTTTATTTTGGCCTTATAACACCAGAAGCCGACTAGGTATACTCTAGGTGCACCCCAGGTCAGTAGAGTAGACTACGTGACCAAAACTGGCGCCTGGGAAACCCTTGTTCGAAGAACAGCCTGGCGCCACCCCAACCCTTTTCTTTATTTTTAGGGGTGAACTGGTGATGAACTGTTTGGCCTGTCTCAGTCTTGAATAGTTGTTCCATCTTTCCTGAGACTCTGTTTGCATCCATTGTTTGATGAGTGTCTGGCATAATGCCTAAGCATCTCCACAATAGGGTTCAGAGCCTGTCATGGCCTTATCTGAGCCTTCTCGTAGTCATTTTCGTTGCCCTTGTTTCCCTCGTGGCTTGGCACCCAGGCTAGAGTCACTTTATTTTGACTACTTAGCTCTGCAAGGTTTTCTAGACACTCTTTCACCAGTCGTGATTTCATTTCTGGTGAGAGAATTGCCTTTAGATCTGCTTGGATATCAGAGTAGGTTTGCCTGATACTTGCTGATTTAATATTTCTTTTGCAGTGTTGTATGTCTATTTGTTCAGCCTGCAACAGTGTTGTATATTCTCCTAGACTCAGCCAAATCGTTGTTTTCGACTTGGGTTCATAGATACCAGCACCGGCACCTTCCTTGGTTTTTGAACCGTCTGTGTACCAGACCAGTTCAGCCTGTTCGGGAGGTTCCTGTTTCCAGAATTTTTGGGCTGGTATTTGAATTTAAAAGTTTCTTTCAAATTTGTATGTGGTTATGGCTATATGAATAGGCATACCTTGAATCTTTTCCCTTTCCTATCTTTATAAAGATAAGGAAAGTATAGGAATCATGATTTTTTTCGACCTCCAGTTTTCAACGGACTTTTACATTTTGGGGTCCACTGAATTCATTTCGACTATTTTCGCGATGATGTCTGTGCGTTATATCTGTTATTTACATTTAGAGAAGAAAATTCTTTAAATAAAAGTTGTTTCTTATATTATTCTCTATAATTTTTGTATTTTACAAAATTTTCCTAAAATGGTCCGTATTCGAGAAAGTTTATAAAATGTAAAAAATTCAAGTTTCTCTGAAAATTATTAAAATAAAAGTTGTTTGCAATATTATTTTCTATAATTTTTGTACAAAACATAATTTCTCTAAAATGGACTATATTCGAGATATTTGACAAAATGTGTAAATTTCGAATTTTAAAGAAAACTCAAAAACGGATAAAGAAAAAGATATTAAATTTTAAACTTAAGCTTTATTCCGACCTGAGGTGAATTGATTGAATTTTGGGTAGAGTCGAAACATCTGGGGGTACTTTATAGGGGGACATTTTTATATCTGTTATTTAAGTTTGGAGAAGAAATTTCTTTAAATAAAAGTTACTTTTTATATTATTCTCTATAATTTTTGTTTTATACAAAATTTTCCTAAAATGGTCCGTATTAGAGAAATTTTTAAAATTGTAAAATTCTGATTTTTAAGAAAATTGTTAAACTAAAAGATGTTTGCGATATAGCCTTCTGTAATTTTTGTTTTTTACAGGATTTCTCTAAAATAGACCGTAATGAAAAAATTGGAGGAAAAGTATAAAATTTAAATTTTTCAGCATTTTCGTTGGCAATGAGTATATACTGTATATAGAAAAATGTTTCGAGTTAGATGTATGCGGAAAATGTACATATTAAGTTAACCTCTAAATATTTACAGAGGTGCTACAATAGGTTGTACAGAATAACCGAAAAAAGCCTCTAATAACTAGATAGGAAAGTCATGTGTTGGACACATTATGTTTTTACTTGTATAGCCTAGTGGGGTCGGCGCTCGGCGCTAGGTAGTTGGCTAATTGGGCTTTGTCCCTGCATTAGCCTGTGAATAACAGACCTTTTTTCCTCCTTGTATGAAGATGTGCAGTGGCGTAAGGTTTAATAGTACCTCTGTTGCTGCAGTTGGCGTAGTTCGCATGATCCCAGTGGTACTCAGACAGGCGAACCACTGAATGCCAGTGAGTTGGCTTATTGCACTTACCTGCGCCTCTTTTGCTACCCACGCCACTGCGCCATAGGTTATCATGTGTTTTATCGCCCTATGGTCATTTTGGAGCTTAGACCTCAGTTTTTCCCACATAGATAGAGAATAGCAGGGCAGTGAGACAGGTGCATTTAATTCAAAGTGGAAATGTATAATCGTTAAATTGATAGATATAATAGATTCAATCATAAACAAAGTTTTCAGAATAAGACTGGAAGAAATAATCATTTCAGTTATTATCGATAGGACAATTATGATAGGAGGGAAATAGGAGTGACAATTATCAAGAGATTTATAGAAATAGGATCTAAATCTGTGTAGTAGAGATAGGACTGAGAGTGATAAAATAGCTGAAGACGGGGAATATAGAAATCAAGTAGAAAATCAGAGAAGACACGATCAAATTTGCCTACGTACAGATGTTGTTTTGACTAAATAAGATAAAAATGATTACACAAGTAATATTCGTTGGTATTTTATTTAAAATGGCCCTTCTGGTGGTTTATAATTTAAAAATTTAAATGGTAAAAGCAGATAAAAAATTCAACCGACTGGTAACAACCAAGCGAATTACTTACGGTACTGAATGCCCAACAGCCTCCACAATCTTTTTGATCCTTTATTTCAGTAACCGCTCCCTTCTCTCTCCAGTCCTTTCTACCTGGAGGATGTCCATTGTATTGAACTTGTTCGGTTTTTGGTGAAGGTGCAGGTCTATCCATCTTTGGAAGCGGCTGCAGTAGGTCACGAAATTCTTCGGCGGTTAAATCTCCAAACTTGTTCATCCCCATTTTGTAAGAAGTCAATCCCTTCTCGAATTTTTCATTATGTTCTTCGATTTTGCGTAAATTAGCTTGAAATACTGAAAACCGGGATTTTTCTTCAACTGTATTTTTATAGGATTTACCATGATTTTTCTAAAAAACAGAAAATAGGTCAGAAGTTTGTACGATATTTATATATGCCAACGAGTTATGAAATAGTATACGAGCCCTAACCACTATATGTTCGGCCTTTTCATAATTTTATTTAAGATATTTATTAGAAAACCTATGTTTATATTTATATTTGTTTATGATCAAATCCCTATTTTTTTTGGGGTTGCTTTACCGCGACCCATTTTCAATAACGAATAAAAAAAATTACGTTAGAAACTATCACAATGATACCGTCACATTTCAACAGGTTAGAACGTCGAACCACAAAATAAGTTAGTGTTTCATAATGTGCGCCAAACACGTTAAAAATTATAAACGTCAAAAATTCCAAAGCCAACAAAATAAGTTAGTGTTTATTATGTGCATCAAACACGTAAAAATTCTAAACGTCAAAATTCCAAAGCCTCCCAAACATTAAATTTAATAATGGCGAAGAATAGATATTGTTCGAACATTTAAATGTTCATTTATATTTCGATTAGATACTGTGTTTTAAAAAAATTAAGATCATGGTGCGTCACGCTCTCACAAATAGTAGAAACATCAACAATTAAATTTAAGTCATTTTAAAAAAATAGATATTTTTTTTCAACCTTAAATTTTCTAATATATAACGGAAATAAAATGATAAAAAGGCCGAACATGTAGTGGTTAGGGCTCGTATTATGCATATATTATTATTATTATTATTAACTAAAATAAAATTACTTTGAAAGTTAGCCATTCTTCACTATCACTTAAAGCAGAAGCAATTGTTAAAACGGCAAGAAAAAAGAACAAGACGCAGCACCTCATCTAAAAAAAAAACATTATGTTATACAGTAACTTATACAGGATGTCTAGTAATTATAATTCACTGCTGGGCCCCAATATATCCATAATATGTAGTATACGCTCGATTGATCGAAGTGTACGATTATTTCACAACATTTTTAAAAATACTAAAAATTTTTGGGTAAGCCGCTGCCACATTCCATGCTTATCATCAGAGACAACAGAGACGTGTAACTTAATAGGAAAAATTGTTCGGTGGTCCATTTAAATTACATATACGACTTTCTTTCTCTTTTACATTGATCTTTACATATATTTATCTCCCTCCAATAAAACTAACACCAATCTAAGAGGTCGCTGATGTTGCTGATTTTTTGACGTCGACGTATCGATTAAAACTGACAACTGACAATGTTATGAATGTTGAATGTTGTTATGAACGTGTACATTTTATTAAAATTAATTTAATTTGGGCCCCGTTTATTTCTTTGAGTCTGATTTTGTTGTTTAATTAATTTTCTTTGGGGGGGAATGTTTATTTTTGCATAATATTTTTTGCATGAAGCAATTTCTGGAACCAAACTCGCGTTTTTGTACACATTTCTTTCTAGAGGTAAATAATTTCCAATTTATTAAGAAAACCACTGTATAATGTGTGTGTTTACTAATATATTACAAAATCACTATAATTATTTTAGGTGAATTGGAACAGAGATCCATTGTTACAGCTACTTTTGTTCATTAAGTAGGTAGATGAATGTCTGGACAACTTTAATGGCAGCACAAAGTTCCTACCTACTAAAAAAGTAAAATATATGCCAAGTAAAAAATCTGCACATGTAGTATTGGCAAAGGACTTTTGAAATGATTAGAGATTGGCTATTTCTTACATACACCTACCTCTAATAGCCACTCTAAAGAAAGAAAAAAAAATTGAATCACAAAAGGGCAGAATTTTAAATCAGGATGGATTGGAAAATAAATTTGGGGACATCAGATCGGTTTTGGATTTTAGAGAGATACATCTCAAGAAAAGTTAATTTATCCTGCAGAACAACCAGTAGTTTAAGTAAGATTTGCTATAACTTTATTAGAAGATTTCCTTGATAATAAATTGTAATATAGGTACCAATTGTTTCAAATGAAATTGAAAAAGAGTTAAATACGAAATTATATTTTTCATGGGTAAAATGTTATATTAATTCAAACATTGTAAGGTAATCTATAATTAAGGGAATATGGAAAATAGGTATATCCTGGTGGTATAAGAGACAGGTAAGGGGCAATGAGAAAAAAATTACAAAAATGTATTCATCTTTAAATAGTGTTTATTATTAATAATATTATTTGCTATGTTTGAACAGTACCTCCTGCTGCAGAACAGATCGAGTAGATTAGACTACTAGTTGGAGAAGGTCCACCTAGTAACTAAATTAGAAGACTAGGAAAACTTTTACATGACTGGGGACACAACAGTAATGCACACGCACAAGATACACAAACAAATGAAATAACAGGGGTAAGCTTTCAGCAACGTCCTATTTAACTGATGATAGTATGTCATCCTTCATTCCCTTTTAGAAGGCATGACATATAAATCTATTGATCTTGATGACCCTAAGAGGAGTTAGCAGGGGGTGTACGGAATGGGTCTAGCAGGTTTCGATCCAGTTTACAGGATGGGAACTTACTCGACTCGGGCCTTATACATTTGTGTTGAGTGTATGTGTGTGTTTGTTTCGTTTCCATTTTTTCTATTAAAATAAACAGCCAGACTAACGTAAGCGACATTTTTTCAAATGGCACTTATGATAATCTGGCAAAAAGGTATCGATATACTCTATACTTTATAAAATATTTGTTATATTAGTTTTTAAATATATTATGAATATATAACAACTGTTACTTTCTTTATAATTTGTCACAAAATGATACGAGGTACTTTCTAAACGAAGCAATTGTAGTTTGTTTTTCTGTACCTTACAAAAATATAATTTATAGAAAAAGAGTTTGGTGTATTATTTTTCCAAGTTTAAATATTTAATAATCAATAGAATTTTCCAGTTTTTTTTTAGCCAAATTTACAAGAGTAATAAAAACTATGTTCACTGCTTGTATTAAACTGATTAAAACTTCCTTTAAGCATTTTTAATTTTCCCGCTATTTACTAGTGGCGCCATCATAGACTGGTTGTGGTTACAATCGCCCAAATAACTTTTACCGAACAAAAAAAATACATTGAGTTAAACGTCTCGCTGGATTGTCTCTGTTATCATCGACGACCCGATACACCTCATTATTCTTTGTTGTGTTGAAGTGTACCTACGTATCAATTTTCGGAAATAAATGCCGAAACAAAAATGTGACAAAGATAAATATAGGAAAATAAAAAGAAAATGCGAAAACTGCCAGACATGTTGGAAACAAACCATGGTTACGTTCGACTTTAGGGACACACTGTCTGGTCAGTTTTACTTTATTTTTTGATTTAAATGATATTAGGTAGGATTTTAATTCATCTTAGGTTTGGAAATACGAAAAAAAAGTATGAATCAATTATATATTTTAATTAAATACTTTTTTAAAATAAGAAAACGAGTCCTTCATTAAATTTAACCTGAAACTTGAAAATTTTAATATTTAACATTTCTTTTCTGGATAATGAGTGGGGTTGCCAAGATTAATTTATTACTTGTTAGTATTTCGGCAGTTACCCGCAATATTTAAAAAACTAAGTAGTCTGGGAATTAATAATATGACCGGGTAGCGGAGAATTTAGAGTGAACTTTTGTGTTGAATGAGTCAAATAAAATGATTTTCTAACAGTTTATTTCTAGAAATTACTCAAAAATGTCATGTGAAATGTCAGTAAGTTATAAAAACTTACCAAAAGATTGCTGTATAAGCTGATATAAACAGATATTATTCTTTGATCTGTGTTAGGGGCCGGGGAGCGATGTTTAATACAGATTGTGGTATTTTATCACAAAATTCTATTATTTTTATTTAAATAAACAAATTATGAAAGTATAATAATTTACGAGTTTACAAATTAATTATATCTTCTTAGATATTAAAATACTTGGCAACCCTGTACACATAAGTCAAAATATTTGAATAAAAATTATGCAATTTTTGAGATTTTAACATTAAATTTCTCGCTTAATCGTGGATAATCTCCATTTTTTTTTAATTTTCATAATATATAACTTCTCTACTTTCTAATAACAAAAAATATTTTGAAATTCGTGTGTGTTTTAAGACAAATGTAACCCAAACCATACTACAGACTCCAGTTTAGATAGTAAGTACAAATAATGTATATAACCGTTAAAAAGTCTTTCATGAATCATGTTTTTTGCCGGCTAAAAAACTATTTCGGAGAATTGAAATTGAATGTGATGTTTGTTCTGCTTTATGCGAACATTTCAGATCATTGAACGAAATAAGATTTTGATTTAGTCAAAAATACTTGGTATCTGTCCTGCTTTATGCGAACGATATCACAATAACCATTTTTTTAAGTAGAGCCTACTTAATTGTTTTGGTTAGGCTAGAATTGAATTAAATGTGATATTTGTCCTGCTTTATGCAAACAATTTCACATCATTGAGCGAAATAAGATTTTGGTTTACTCCAAAATACTTGGTATCTATTCTGCTTTATGCGAACGGTATCACAATTGCCATTTTTTTTTCTCTACTACAAACGACATGCCAGTAATGTCGATCATATACGTTTTTGTAAGTTGTAAAACTGTTGTTAATAATAATTCACATACCTACTAAATGATTTCGATAAGGCCAGAATTGAATATGTTTGTCCTGCTTTATGCGAACAATTTCACATCATTAAACGAAATAAGATTTAGATGTAGTTAAATACCTACCAACTATTAAATAGATAATGATTTAATTTTTTCTGTTTCATGCGAACATTTTCAGATATCTGTCCTGCTTTATGCGAATGATACCACAACACACATTGCGACGCTCATGAATCTTGGATTTTGATTTATGGTACTTATTCTTTCACAAAAGACATTTTGTCAATACATCAAAATTTTTCTGATGACTCAGATTAAAGCTTAAGTCTACGCTCCCAGGGTCAGGTAGTTAATATCTCAGATTGGCTGACACAGACCACTGATGGTACTCATCTAAAAGACGATATTGCAAATAGATGGGAGAACTATATTACTAAAGAAAGAGACTCAGAACAGGTTAAAGAACAAAAAGTAAAATACAAAACGCCATTCAACTGCAAACCACGAAAATCGGAAAAGAATCGAAACACTGAAAGAGCAGAAACATTTCCGGAATCGAGCAAACACTACCAAGCATCGTCGTCAGGGATACCAATACCAAAATTAAACTCTGATATAGGTCAAGTTGCAGGTATATTAAAATCTCATTACAATGAATGGCGGGTTTTAACAAACAATACTTTTGTTTTGAACTGCATGAAAGGCAGTAAAATTATTTTTTTCAAAAAGTCAATCCAAATGAAACCCTCACCAAACAGAAATTTCTCAAAGGCAATTAAACTTGAAATATAAACTTTATCAAAGAAGGGTGCCGTTAAGTAATGCGCTCAAATAAGTTCGTATCTAGCTATTTTCTTAGGACAAAACCAAGTGGCAAACATAGGTTTTAACTCAATCTAATATAAATAAATAAATATATATGTGATAGTAATCCATTTCAAACTAGAGGAATACCGAACAGTACAAAAAACATTGCAATGTTATATGTATGCAATAGACTTGCAAGATGCCTATTTTTAGTCCCAAATAGAAAAACTGACAAAAAATAGTTAAGGTTTAAATTCAGTAATATACTTTATGAATATTCAATGTTTACCCTTCGCCCTTAGTTCAGCCCGATATATTTTTACCAAAATTATGTACAAATTAAGACCCAAAAATATTATATTGGTTATATAGCTTGATGACCTATTAATAACGAGTCAGACAAAAAGCGAATGCATAGAAAATAATACATTCGCTTTAGAGTTGCTAA